TTCCCCCCCCCCCCCCCCCGTACACGATCCTGTAAAATGCCATGTACCAGGTATTTGTTAGTGGGATATTGACCAAATATGTGCTCTTCGCCCCGCTGCCGTCGCCCCGTGACCCACGGCACTAGCGGTTTCGATCCTAAAAAAACGCCTCGCTAACCTCCATCTGGGCCTTCACCGCCTCAAGCTGGTCCTTGGACTCCTTCAGGCTCCCCTCCGCCATCATCTTCGTGGTCATAACGTAGTCCCAGTACCAGAAAATCCCAGACCACTCGTGAGCGGACGGCAGCTGTAGCTCCATGCCGATCTGCGATCGATTGGAAATCGCATCACCGATCCGGGGGGTACGACCGTTCCCAAATAAGTTCGGAGCAGTATTGATCAGTCAGTCCAAGTCAGTGGTTCAACAAAATCCGCAATAGTCTATTAATAGGTGTAACGCCAGATGTGGAGTTGGCGTGGTTGATATGACAGCTTTCGCCACCCCAGGCGCGCGTGCAGGAGGTTGTGATTCAACAAATAGTGCGAGAAATACGTGCACAAGTCGATCACATGTCCTTCCTCGAAACCAACCGCAAAAGCAAGTGAATTGCGGTGTAGGTATGCAAGTACGCATGCTACACTCATGTCGTCTTGTAACGGTCGTTTCCACTCGTCCATGAATGAAGACGCACGCCATTTTCTCGCACTCCTCCAAACATGTTTTGCTCGCCCTGGCCGTCGCAAAAAACGTTGTCAACTGAAGCAGCGTCTTCTGCTGCATGGCAACAAACCCGGCCGCACAGCAGGAGAAGCCGCACCCCCCGTTGTCGATCGCCACGGCACCCCCGCTTCCGCCCCACAAGGCACCCCTTGCCATGCCACAACCGAACAAAGGCACACACACGGGGTTGCACAAACAAGAGACCCCCCCGGACACACCTGCAAGTAGCGGTGCATGAGACACAGGACTTCCGTGAGAGCCCACTTGGACATGTACCGCTGGGTGCCGGCCCCCAAACCGTACTGTAGCTGGAAGGCGTCGTCGACCGTGTTCGCGTAGGCTTGGAGCGTCCGCCAGTCCTGCCGCGGTGGCAAAAGCAACGAGCCGAGGGGCAGGGAGAGAAAGTGGCCTTGATGGGAGCGGTGTGACAGAAGTGATCGTGGACGAGGCAGCGTGGCCAAGACAGCAAGCCTTTTATGAAGACCTCAGAGGGGGCGTTGTGTCTCACGTAGGCCTATGGAAGCTCCACGTACAGTATCATCCACCACATACTAGCTGTATATACCTGCATCTGCAGCTCCAGGGACATGCGCTGCCTCCCCCGGTTGAGGCACAGAGTGCGGAGAGTCTCGTACACGGGTTTGCCGACCCGATCAAGGAACGCCATCCCGGAGGGGGAGTTCACCACCGCGTCAGGCACCCCGACATCGGTCATCGCCTCAGCAACAAACCACATCACCTGTTACAGAAGACAGATGACAAAGGCGAACCAATGCGTTCCATATGGCGGGGCGTGAAGAGCGCAAAACAAAATAAGGTCGATGACTATCCATGTTTCTTTGGGAGCGTCAGTAGGGCGGTGGGGCGTTGTGTGTGCTGTTACGATGATCCAGTAACAGTGGGTCCCTGAATAGGCCGCAAAGAAGGCCGGTGAATCGTTTGACACAACGGAATGTTCATGTTATCTCATACTACTCTGAACAACGCCGGGTGCCCGATACATGGCTGGCCAAATTCCAACAGCTAAGCTACGGGCGAGAGGAACCACATACACCCGTGAAACACAATCTCGACAAAACACACGAGAACAAACACTTGGTATATCACATCAAGGCTCTTAATTATCTCCCCCGCGATGCACCCGCCACCGCAGCCGTCACTCACGTCGAACCGTCCCAGCACCATATCTTGCCGGTAGAGGCAGACCGCCGCCACCGACCGCGCGAACAGGCTCGCGGTGCCGACGGCGGGCCCCCCTTTGCTCTGATTGGCCGACAAGCACCACGAGGGTTTACACAAGAGAGGCACTAGGACGAAGATTGAGTGCGCGTGCATATATTGTTGTGGTTCTGACATGTGTTTATGCACCAGGTGACTTGATCAAAAGAACGCGCGACACAACAATGAACCTCCAGGGACTTCTTCGCCACCAATGGCATAAAACCGGTCTTGCGCTACCGCAACGAAAGCTGCAGCAGGTACTGTAGAAGACGAGAAACGCCTCCGAAGTAGAAAACCTACAGCAGTGGTCTCCAAGTCAACCAACGGGGAACGTAACATGGCATGCCCCTTCACCCCTACCCAATAACCACATCGCATACCGTCAGAAGATACCGCGAGGTTCAACGGTTCCCCCGTATTAGCGCCAAAAACCGTCCTGCAATCTACAACGAGACGTGGCGACTATGGCGTCGAATATTACCAAAGTCGATTTCTACAGCTTTCTCACTACCTCCCCCTCCCTCCCCTCCCGAACCCCCCCCTTCTTCCCCTTCTTGCGGCACAAAAGTCGCGAGCTCTTCAGACGTGACATGCATACATGAAACCACCAGCCCCCGCACAAAATTAAAACACAGATATGCATGCAAAAGTCACACAACAAAACCACACACCTCCGCCGGCGGTTGGTACAACCGCAGGAGACTCCGCCGCACGTCCAACAAGTCGTCGCACCGAATTATCCCGCACGCCCGCTCGACCTCCCGCGCCAGCAGCAGCAGCGCCCGCGGCCCCTCCGCGCGCCCCCTCCGAAAGTGGACGTGGTGCTGCGGCGAAGAGCCTAGCAAGTGCCGGTTCATCTCCGCCTCGAATGCGAATCCCCCCGCATCCCCGCCGAGCCTGACCGGCGGCAGAGGAGGCGTTTTTCTGTTGCCCCCGTTACCCTGCCTGTTCGCTGCCGCTGATCGTGCAACGGCTCCCGCTCCTGCGGCCACGCCGCCTCCTACAGGCGGCCGATTTCGCGCCGCTTCGTGCGTCGTTTCGGCAGAGGTTCCTCCTGGTACATATGCCTCTATCGCGAGGAGGGACTCGAGGGCGAGGGCGGCGGCGCGGAGGTGATCCCCGCACCGCGCAATCCCGTTCAGCGGCGTCTCGATGTCATCACACGCGCTCTCCGAACGTTGTTGGTGTTCTTCTTCTCCTTCGTCTTCTTCTTCTCCTTCCTCTCCTTTTCTCTCTGTAACTTCTCCCGCGCACGGTGCAGCCAAGGCCGTCCCGGCCGTCCCCCCCGGTCCTCCCCCTGTCGTTCCCATCGCTCGCCCCTCGACCACAAGCCCGACGGCATCGCCACAACCGTTCTCCGCTGCCGGGAACTCTTGCCCCCCCTTCACCTCCGCCGAACCCGCCTCGGCACCACACTCTTCCCCGTCCCGTCCGCCAATCGCGCTCGCCACTGAACTAGTACCTACCCTGCCATCCCCCTCCGCCGTGCCCCCGCCATCCGGCTGGACCGCCTTCGCCGGACAACGGCTGTCGATGGAGATCGCCGCTAGCCCTGTCGCCGCCGCGACGACCTCACTGTCCACCTCCACATCGTCCTCTGGCCCACTTGTTGTCGTCGCCTCCCCGCTGCCGTTCTTTTGTCCCGCCGTCAACCCGCCGCTCGCTGCTGAGGCTCCTCTTCCTCCTCCTGCTGCTGTTGTCTCCGCCGCCCCTTCCGTCGTCGGCGTGCCGCTGACGCCGGCGACGGCGGTTGCGGTTTTATGAGCGGGCTCTTCCGCCCTCCGCTTCTCGAGGGCCTTAAGACGCTTCAAGCGCTGCTTGTTGGTGAAAGCGTCCCGGAGGGCTAGGCAGGCCCGCAACAGCTGTGTTCGCGACTCGAGGTGCGCGACGATGCACTCGTCAGGGCTTCTGCTGTCTCCCCCTCCTGCACCGCCGGTTTGTCTAAGGGGCTCCGCACATTTAATCTGCGGAAGCGGGATGGATGGGGGGGGGGGTAAGTGGGAGCATCTAGAAGAGGCGAGGGGGGGTTCGAGGCGTACCGTGCTGCCCTACTGCTGCAACATGGAACGAGGGTTGTGACCACCCGAAATGATGACGATTGCGTGTGTGCTGGTGGCCTGAAGTCGGTTCGATGGGCTTATTACCCCCCTTTTCTGCATTCCGTGCTGTTTAGAAAAGACACATATATACCCGTTCGTGATGTTGCCACGGGGGTTTCTTCAACTTCCACAGCAATTTGATTCGACCGCTCCTGCTCACTTGATCTTAACCTTCCCCTTTCCGGTCATCTTGCCTCTCTACCCCTACCACCCTTTTCACACTCGCATCCAACATTACCCTGCCCTCTACCTTCGCGGGTCACGCTTGCTCTAGCCCTCTTCTTTTAATCCACCTGCGGCGCAAAAACCTTCCCGCAACACGCAAGTTCTCCCGAACCCCAGCCAAGATATTCCCGTCCCCCGTAGGGAACCACGGCAGTGGCACTGCCCTGCACAAGCTACTATGAACCGCGGACGCGACACTCACCCTCGCTCTCATCGCCGCCTCCGCCAGGGCCAAAAGGTCCGTCAGGCTTTCGTCCTCCACTGGGGGGGCTAGGCGAAACCCGAAGGTGCTGGGGTAGAAGTCCTCCTCCTCAAAGATGTCGGCGAGGATCATGACGTCGCGGGCCAGGGAGCAGCACCGCAGCGTCGCCAGGGACTGCGCCAAGACCGCCAAGGTCAGCGCCCGGTCCACTGGTTTCCAAGGGAAGTTGCCTGATCGGGGGGCGCGGGGGGGATGCAGTGAAAAACGGATCTCGATAAGCCTGCTCACTAAACTGCTGTGTGCGGGGTTTGGGCGTAGTGCGCGAAGGCTGCACACCCATAAACACCAAACGCGAGCAACCGATTGCGGCTGACGCCAGCAATGCACTACACCTCCAAGCACTCCGTACCTCACGGCCGGCCTGGAGTCAAAACTCTACTCATAACCACTTGTACATGACGATCTTCGGGCTGAGGGAGCAACAGCAAAAAATAACAACCATCCCAGGCCCTCCCACCATCATCATTCTTTTCAGCCTGCACTTGTCGGTCTTTTTCTGTGCTACCTGTGGGAGTTCCTTCACCTTCCTTGATCCTCAAATCCAGGCTAGTTCGAGCGTTCGAGGATCCAGGCGCCTGCTCTAGCGGCCAGCCAAGTCCCCGCAGCACGGCGGAGAACACGGCGGGATGCAGGTAAAGGCAGGCGTACAGCGTCTCCGGCAGCGAACCCCCCTCGTGCCAGGCAACCTCGCACACCGACATCCCGTCCAGCACGGACAGAGTCCGCTGGCTGGGGCTGAAGGAAGAGGGGTGGGGCGGTACCCCCGGCGTTTGGAAACCCGTTGCCGGCGAAGGCGACGAAGAAGCTGCTTCTTCGCGGGGGTTGGGTGGCGGTGCCGGCGATGATGGTGGTTGCGGTGGTGGTGGCAGTGGCGGCACCGAAGCGTCCAGGTTTGTCGGGAGTGCGCCTGACGCGATCCTCTGATCTAACGACTGAGAGGAGGTGGAGGAGGATTGCATGGGTTTGGGCGGTGGGAAGTTACGACATCATCATGACTGCTGTTGGAGAACGATAGGATTGATAGTTGATGCGTAGCAACGTAGTGGCCGCGAAGCTGCGGAATGAGTGAACGTACTCTGAGCTGACTAGACTATTGGAACCTAGTTATCCAACACCCCGAGCAACCATTGGACCCCGAGCTACCATCCGAGTGGCGTGCGACGACCAATGGACCAATTTACGAGAAGATTTATTTCCAGCCAAGCACGTTCTTTAATTATGATTTCTGGACAGGTGTACCCCTTTTGGGTAGTTGGCCTGTGACCATAACGTCGTTTGTACCCTAGTGTCAATAGCTCAATCAGGGCCTCATTGTTCCCACCCTTGTTGGAATGTCTCGTGTACAGCGTTTTTTTTTTCTTCTCCCATTATTGGACTCTGTCGTCTGCCCCTCTGGCCCCTATCCTCCACTTCAAATAGCTAGACGACCCAACCGTATGTACATCGGTGTGATATGAGAGGGAAACCATGAGTTGTACTGTACTCCTCTTTGATTATTATGGGTGTACCCTCTTCGGGTAGTCGACATGTACCGTAACCACGGACGCGTCAGTTGGACCAGGACGGATGTTCGAAGGTACCGAGCAAAGATCCAGAGTAGAGCGATGAATTATCGTCTGTCGAAGGTTCTTTACTCCCTTCACATGTGTGTGTAAGTACAAGAAGATACGAATATCCAGGCTTCCACAGCAAGGTTTTTCTCAAGTAAAGACGGCAACAACAACAACAACAACAAGAGCAGAACTCTATGCCAATTTGTCGATATTCTCCATCAGCAGCAACCCACAGGAGCGACAGCCTGCCATGGTTCGCGATTTGTATGGTGACCCTTTGTGTGGAAGGAATGAGCATTGAGTTCCAAATGTAAGCTCCGGCACACTCTGGGCGAAACCTTGCTGCGGCGAATGTGGCAGCAAATACCCACCAGCAGCAGTCTTCGAGAAAAAACTGGTGAGACCTCGACCAAGGGAGCGAGAGTGAGAGGTGTGTACTACTGTACAATTCCCTTCCCGTCCAGGCAAGGGTCAGCGCGTTCATCCAAATCAAGATTAGAGGGGTGTACAGTTCGCGTCCGGCAGGCAAGGTTCAGCGCGTTCCTCAAAATCAAGACAACGTCCGAGGGCGAAGCAGTGGCTTTATGGAGCATTGATTTCTACAGAAGTAGGGCTGTTGAGACAGCGCTTGTTGTTATTTCCGGACATGTCGGAAAGGGGGAGGTGTTGCAGCAGTGTGCGTACAAGTAGTACCGCTGATGCGTGTTGCGTGTTACCCACAAGGCACAACTGACAACAACCACAGCCCTTTTCTTTGGGGTACTCACGTATCCGTCAGAATCGCGGTGGGCATTCCAGCGTCCATATACATGCGACGATTCACTCCAATTCAGCGCAGCGTACATCAGTCGTTGCGGGTTTGTTGGCTGCGGCAAGCATAAACGGGATAGCTAATTGTCGGTGCTGCTGTTTGTGTGTGCAGGGTGCGCTTGCTCCGGCTGCGCCAAGCCCCCCTGGTCGCCTGGAACTCTCGCGGCCCCGGCAAGAGGGAGAACCCGTGTGCGGCGCGGTGGAACAACGCCAACGCTTCTTCCCGATAATAACAAGATATGCTGGGACATGACAGATACCGCACCTCAAGCACAGGAGGAGGCTTGTCCATCTTGGTGTCCATGAGCTCCAGGGCGGACATGGCACCGTACAGGCTGAAGTCCGCGTCGTGGATCATTTCGTCTGGGCCAAGCATGGAGGCTGCGGTACGGCAGAGCTGAGTGACATCCATCGCATCCAACGCAACTATCGATGCGGGAGCCGTGCATTGCCCGCCGTCCGCGGGGGGAGGCGAAGGGATCTCGCTGGACGCGGGATCCATGGCTTCAGCCCGTTGCCGCACGTCGTCTATCTTGTCCTTTGGATTATGCTGCCCCACCCCTCGCTTTGTTGGGGTGTTCGGTAGTGTTTCATGGTTGCTGGCCAACAGAAAGTATCAACCGTAATGAGGGGTACCTGCAGAGAAATATCCTCACTCACGACTCCCCCGTGTTCTGGGTGCTCAAAACTCAAACGCCAATGGTGTATGACAATAACAATTAAGCATATACCATTGCACTACGCAGCACAGTCACAGTTCTGTCACAGGCAGGGCATCGCGCCTTCTCCTACAGCAGGGGCTCTTCCGGCCATTCCTCCTGTCTACCCCCTGCCATGTGGTTGAAATCAGCTAGAGGGAGAGGAATGAAGACCGGCGCCCAAAGAACGACGAGTGCATCAGCATCAGCAACTATGCTGCTGATGCAAACGTACGTCGTATCCATATCGGCTCTCGCCACCATTGCCACTAGCAGAGCACATCCAGCGGGCGCTTTGTGCACTCCAACCACACCCGCCTTTGGCCGGTGTTGCTTGATTTCTCGGCGACCGTCCTCCGCAGTCGTCATGTCTTCGGCAAGGAAACGGCACGCGGTCGTCGCGTTCGGTCGTACGTTGCTGCTACGGCGAGGCTCTCCGTTCTTCCAGCGAGGGACAACAGACACGGAGCACAGCAGCAGCAGTAGAAGAAGCCCGTCGGTGCGAGTAAACAACGCGGTGGATGACTCCGCGTCAGCGTTACCGGCCTTCCCATCCGAGCGAGTCGGCGTGGCAGCAGCAGCAGCAGCAGCAGCAGCAGCAGCAGCAGCAGCAGCAGCAGCAGCAGCAGCCGGGGCGTCTACTAGACCCCCGTTGCAAACCCTAGCAACAGATGCGGCGCAATCTCAATCTCCGAGCCGGCGTGTTGCCCCCGCCGCTGCCCCGACGTTGTTGCTGGAGTGGGGCTCGGAGAAGGTACAGAAGCTTCGGCAGTACGTGTTCGAACTCCCCGAGGACACGGCCGAGGAGTCGAGGTTTCTGATCATGGCTGCCCTCCTCGGCGTTATCACGGGCACCGCAGGTATGCAGAACATGTCGTCTCTCTCACATGGAAAAGCTCATCTTCCGTGTTTCGTCGTGATCCTTTACATATGTAGCATAAGGGTTTTTGACAGATGATTATGCCGCGTCTCAACACGACCTCGATGTGCCAAAGCCGAGCCAGCGGGCTCGGAGTACCCAGCACCTAGCCTTGACTGTTTATCACGAAACGCCCGAGTGCGAAGAGCGATGAAGGCGCAGGTACAAAGCAAGCTTTACGCCTTGACTTCTTGTGCATACATTCCGCATCCAGGCACCAAGTTGTTCGGGGCTCTGCTCATGTAGCCTACTTGGTGTGTAGTCCATCCGGCCAGCAGCAGAAGCAGCAGCAGAAGCAGCAGCAACACCAGTAGCAGCGATGCAGTGGGCATGGATATGTACGCTATGCTGATTCGGTTGCCTACCAACGAAGACAGCAGCAAACTTGTGTCGGTCTTCCAGGCCTCGATTTCTGGATTTGACGAAGGCTTGGGTGCACTCCTGCCTGTAACAAGACACACGTGGATGACGATCTAGAATGTAGGGCAGAACCCATGTGCCCGGACAGTACGTACTGCTGTCGGGAATATGTGGTCCAGCCAGATAACTCCTCCGCGCAGATTGCACGGCTCGGTTCCTAAGCGTATGACAGCTGCCACGATTGTGCTAATCCCTCCGTACCTCACGTGGCACCCCCAGAGCTTTGCATTCCAGCAATGTACAAATACACGTCTTGTTCCCAAAAGACCGTCAGCGCCCCTCCCCCCCCCCCCCCCCAAAACTGGCCCCACCACCCACACTACCTATACATGGCGTCATCCCCCCTTGGAAAAAAAGTAACCGTCTTCAAGACCCTCATCGGAGCCGTGAAGAAATTCTCGTACGACGATCTGATTGGCCGAGTTCCCCCGGGAGCCGCCTCCGCGTACATCGGAGCCGTCATCCCCGTGCTCGGTGCCATTGGGGTGGTTTCCTTGATGTGGGCGCTGCAGCTCAAGTCCTACGGGCCGGGGTTAGGCGGACTAACGGAGGAGGTGGACAGGCAGGTTCCCTGGAGTCCTCGAAGGTGAGCTGGTTGCCAACAACAGGGGAAGCCTCTTGACCAATAGGTAGTTGTATGTGACTTACGGGTCCGGGCCGTCTTCATCGATACCGGGATACCCTCTCTTATCAAAGACCGTTGAAATCAGTCCACCAATCCGACGTGTCACCTCATTCTTTCCCGTCCCCTCCTGCCACCAACGCCTCAGAACGCTCGGGAAAACCCTTGCCGCAGTTGCTACCCTAGGGACGGGGAACTCACTAGGTCCGGAGGGGCCGGCGGTGGAGCTAGGGGTGGCCTCCTCCCGCTATGTGTCGGCCATGTCGAAGCTATCGGTGCAACGGCAGAGGATGCTGCTCGGCGCTGGGGCGGCGGCAGGGGTCGCGGCCGGGTTCAACGCCCCCATCGCGGGCATCTTCTTTGCGTTGGAGATTGTCAAGGTGCGCACCGTCGGCCCTTGCCGTGACACGATCAGGGGTTGCTAAGTTTTTTACTTCTTGGGCTACTGTAAGTCGTACGGTATATTTTTTGCCAAGTGGGCAGCAGTTACGGATGCTGTGTGCTCCTCCCTGTATTGTGGCCATGATTGCTGCAGCTGCGTGTCGGCGACTGCTGTGACACGGCGGGTCGATGACTGCTGTGATAGGTTTGAAGGGTGGAGTGGAAGGGGCCGGTGTGTGGGACGGAACACGCGTGATGATATCACGAGGGGTTCTGAACCGTCGATCAACTCCCCCGTCTTCTACGCCGCCATTGGAAGTACGTGGGCTTGGCTTTACCTTGGATAGCACCAGACATGGCTAACGACATCCTTGAGAGCTTTAATTGGTTTCTCCGTGTTCCCGAGATGTTACCATCAATACACAAAACTCGCGTAGGCTCCAACAACTCTTGCGTGTCGCATTGAGTTGAAAAGCAGCTCCACCAAAGCGGGGCGAGATGGGGAAAAGTCTTGCGTTGTTTGTCCACCTCGTCAAATACACTGGCACGAGCACGCGAGGAGAGCACGACATTTCCATCGCACATCCACCAATACACTGCCGTACACCTGGCGACTGTCGATACGATTTGTATCTACTTGCACTACCGTACAACGTACCGCTAGACAACACCTCATTCTGCGCTCGACGCCCTTATCGCCGTGTGTACCGCTCGTATGCTTTTTATGCTTTGGAACAAACTCACAGGACACCTTCAACACGAACTACAACAGCAAATCCTTCATCGCAGCCACTCTTTTGTGCGCGGTGGTCTCGGCGCTGATGGCCAAGATCGGCCTTCACGACGAGCTGTCGCTGCGGCCCGCCGAGTACAACTTGGAGTCCCCGCTGATTGAGCTGCCGCTGTACCTGGGGTTGGGGGTGGTGGCCGGGCTAGTGGCGGTAATGTTCAAGTATTTCTCCCGCAAGGTGTGTCGGTGGTGAGGGTGCGACTTCTGTTGGTTGTGGCGGGGTTGTTTGTTTATTGTGTGTTGTTGTTGTTGTTGTTGTTGTTGTTGTTGTTGTTGTTGTTGTTGTTGTTGTTGTTGTTGTTGTTGTTGTTGTTGTTGTTGTTGTTGCTGTTGCTTCTGTTGCTTCTTGTTGCTTCTTGTTGGTTTTGATGTTGCGACTGTTGCAACTCTTGTTGCTGTGTTGCCCTGTTGTTCCCAGCAATACTGGTCCTAGCAAAAGTGCAACGGCCGAGCCTTTTGTATCTACACCTGCACGCTATCTCTGTGGGTCAGCTGCTTGGCTGCGCATCGATGTAAATTTCACCTAGCAAGCCAAGCAAAGTTTGGCAATTACTGGTGGATGTGTTCCAAAGGAAAATTATCGGCCTCCCGGTCGTCCCCCCCCCCCCCCCCCCCCCCCCCCCCCCNCCCCCCCCCCCCCCCTCCCCCCATGTTTGTGTTCAGAGCACGAACGACAATGCCCCCGTGATATAGATGCCGAGTCAATAGCAAGGTTTTTACACAAGTAATAACCGCGCCGCCCGCCCCCTGCTCGCTCGCTCCCGCGTGCCCAGAGCGCTGATGTGTTTAAGGGAAATTTCCCGGGTTTTGGGTGGATGAAGAAGGCCCCGCAGTGGTCGAAGCCGATCATGATGGCGGCCGTTACCGGAACAGTCGGCGTGTTCTTCCCGCAGGTGCTTGGGTGCTTACGGCCGGAGGGAAGGGGGGAGCAAGGAGTGTTGGTTGGATATGGGTGTGGTAGGGGTCCATCATACAGAGTGGTCGCGTTGACGGCTGTAGTGGGCTGCTTCTTTCATTGGTTTGCTCGGTGCTTTTTCATCACAAGCGAGAGAAGCAAGAGGGATCGTTCGCTGTTGGGCCTGATGCGTGTGTTTGTACTTTTTGTCTGCTTCTATCGAAGCGTATTTTTACTTCGGAATGCGTTTTTTCTACGTTCATGAGGCCTGCATCCAAAGAAGGGGGCCGCTCTTTTGCTCATTACCCTTTGGGTTGTCTGCAAAACAAAGTGATCTCTCTACGCGCGAAAAGTAGGAGAAACTCGATGATGTTTTTCTTCCTCGCCTACCAAGACTGAGGGGACTGCTGTCGCCATAACGAATAAATCGAAAACACACAACACAAAACAATGCCATTCGGCGCAAAGAACGCCTAGCGCGAAGCAGCCGCTCGAAGTGCAGGCTCCAATCCCGCGCGTTGCTGCGATAGTGGGACACGTACTTGCCGCGACCTGCGGCGGTGGTGCTGTCTTGGATCTAGTCTCACGCTTCCATGTCGTACCACGCTCTTCTGACCGAAGTACTGGCCTTCTTTTGTGGCCTGAAGCTTGCAACAAGGACCCCCTCTATTGCTGGTCTGCTTTTGCGGCCTCAAGATTGCAACAAGGGCCCCCTTTATCGCGGTCTTATCCACGTTCAGGTGTTATTCTTCGGGTACGACACTCTCGACAAGCTCCTGGCTAATACCGGGTCTTACAGCTTGCCGCTGCTTTGCTTTTTGTGCGTGGCGAAGGTGAGGTTTTGTGGTTTTTGTTGGTGTCGTCGTCGGTGATGGTGCTGGCCGTGGCGAGGGTGTGGGTGGTGATGCCGGTTCGTTACTGCTGATTGTTGTTGTTATCGTTGCTGTTGTTGTTGCTGTTGTCGCTGTTGTTGTTATTCTTGTTGACGCTTTGCTGGTGATGTTGCCGCCATGGCGCTCGGCACCTGATCCATCAGCAGATGCCATGTTGGTCTTGTGTTGTTTGATGTTGATGCGGAGAGGTGCCGGGTTCTCTCAGAGGCCAACGACAAGGGCACGCCAAAACCTCTCTTTGCTTGTACACATGTGCACATGATTCGGCCTCCTCTACGGCAAAAGCTAGACTAGACGCTCTCGACTCTCACACGAGTGTGCTTTTACGGAGCGCGCACACCGCGGTTTCGTGTACACGACCTGTTCGATACACCTCGCACGTTTCAAACATGAGACACACAAGACGATCTGAACCTCGATCTCACGTGCCAGCCTTACGTGGTCGAGGGTGACTGCCCCACCTCCCGCAACTGACATCATCTGCATGACTCCTGTCGATGTTGTTGGTGCGTGCAGGCTCTGCTGACGGCAGGTGCCTTAGGCTCGGGCCTCGTGGGCGGGACTTTCGCCCCTTCCCTGTTCCTAGGGGCGACGGCGGGCGCGGCTTACCAGCGGATACTCCAGGTGGGGGTAGGCAGTGTCCCACCAAACAGAAACTCCTGCTACTCGGTTTGTCTTGTGTGCATGTTGCTGTTGGTTGTAATGGTGTTCCCTTCCTTCCCTTCCTTCACCGCCCACCGCAGTGGGTTCCGGAAAGAAATCTGCAGCGTTGTTGATGCTGTTGCTCTCACAGCTGTTTGTAGAAGGCAGGCGATAGTGTGCCATCTACGATTGGATTGGTCATGTTCCTGGCCGAACGGCATGAGGACGCTGGCACGTTTGGTGGGCTGTAGGGGGCTTCGGCCTGTTGCCGGTGCCGGCGCTTCTCAAACGCATCAATTTTCTTAGTATTCCCAACTTCACCCCCCCCCCCCCCCCCCCCCCCCCCCCCCCCCCCCCCCC